GTTGCCTCCAGTCACAGATTCCAAGACCAGAAGGGATCACTGTGATCATCAGGTCTGGCCTCTTGTGTGACACAGGCCAGAGGACTCAACCCAAAATAATTCTAGTGCCGATCCTTTAGCAAAATGGCCACTCATCATTTAAAAGTTGCTGGTGATGGAGAAGCTTTCTCTCTATACAAAAAATTTTTTCCTGTGGGACGACAAAGTGATGTCATCATGTCACGGCATCCACAGGCTGGTGGGTAGGCATGGGTGGGTAAAACTTGGGCCCCTTTTCCTTCCCCGCCCCCCAGCCCTGCCCCTTCCACCCCAGGTCCCATCCCTGGAGCCAAGCCCCACGCACTGCCAGCCCAGCCCTCTCCGGCAGCCACGTGGAGAACTCGGCTGGGCGCCGCAACCAATTCTTCCTTGGTTGCTGGGGGCAGAATCAGGCCTCAGCTGGCATGGTGGAGGGTGGGGGGACTGGGAAGGAGAAGGGGCCCAGGCTGGTGTGGCTGGGGGCAGAGGGGTGAGGGAGAAGGAGCCCAGGCTGGTGTGACCATAGTCCAGCCCTCCCCAGTGGCCAGGGGGGAGAGCCGGAGTTGCCTACCCCCCACAAGAGGCAGGTTGGCAAGAATAGTGAGCAGGGGGCACAAATCTCTATTATTATTATTATAATAAATAAATTATTATAAATAAATGTTTTCCCATCCTTCAGGGCTTCCAGCTTCCAGCAAATCATTGCAAAGTAGGGCTGGGAAGGGTCCTCAAGACAAGGAAGTGCCTATTCAGGTAGCAGCTTCCTAAGCTGCTCAAACCATTCAGAACGAGTCAGCCAGGAGCACCAGCAAAGCCATCCAGCCTGATGTGAAGGGAGAGCCTGTGTCACTTTTCTCCAGACTAGAACGGCCAGTCCAAAGGGTTCATAAATTATGAGTCAGGTCCCCAATAAAGGAGCCACGAGTCCTTCAAAGTCATGAGACTTTTAAATAATAAATGGTGGGATCCTTTTGTCTTTTGGCTTCTGAGCTGTTGGGCTACCCTTGGATTCACGTTCTCAAGCTTTTCTCGGCAGCCAGAAGGGCTGGAAACTGACTTTGTTAAGTAAACAAGCAAACAAGAATAAACACTGAAATTCTAACCTAATCACATGACTCCTAGCCCTGGGGCTTTAAGAACAACCCCAAGTATTGCTAGTCTTATGATAAAATCGCCAGTGCTGGCATTGCTGCATTCACCTGGAAATGGAGCCAATGGGGATATGCAGGAGTGGGCCTGGTGCCACACACCTGTGATAGGAACCCCCTCAAGGGACACTCTCACACACACACCTTGCACACTTCAGCGCTTACCTCCAGAATTCACACACCTCCCCCACTCCCTCATCCCCAGAGAGGAGGTACCACAACCTGGCCTGCACTATGCCACTCATGGCTCCAGCCCTCCAGAGCACCTGAAGAGAGCGGACCTCACTGATGAGCCAAGCTGACCCCAGGTGTCACCCCAAGAATAATATTGGCCCGACCGCTTACGATGCAGCTACCTTAGGTTGGAAACATAATGCTTGCATCCGACACCTGGAGTTACCTGCCTCTGTGCAGCTCAGTGGCCAGATCTCATTAGCTCTCAGCTTCCTTTCTAGCAGGAAAATAAACCCTCTGATTGACAGTCCACCCAAGGAAGAGCTTTCTTAAAGGTACAGGGCCAGCTTCCTCCTCAGTTCAACTGGGGGGGCCCAGTAGTGTTCCTACACATTGAACGTCACATGGCTCTACTTCCTTGCAGGAGCTAATGAGCTTAATGGGGGCTATATCTAGACTACGGGGCTTTAT